TCTACACACCCATATATAAGGACATATATATCCACATATATACACCTATATATATGCCTATATTAAAAACTAAGAATGATAATAATGAAATAGAAAAAAACCAAAAACATCCAAAACAAGCAACCAAAAAAAAAACAAAAAACCCAAAACTCCCAAGAAAACCACCACCACAACAAAAAACATGCCAAACCCCCCCCCCAAAAAAAAACAGTGCCAGTCTTGGCTAAAGTCCACCAAGCTCTCTTCAGGTTGTCCTCTGCTGTACAAAAACCCCTCTGCGTCTTGTGGGGGCCGAGCTGACTACCTGGGGCCTAGAGTGACCCTGGCAATGCAGGTCTATTGTATATGAGTGGGGTTATGAGTTGTGATTGGTAGTTTTTACAAAGTCAATGCTGTTTCTGCTCTTACCTGCCCCAAGGCACGCTGAGTGCTGTGCAGCCAGAAGGCTGGATGTGCGTCTTAAGGCACTCTTTCCCTTGGAGGCTGTGGGGGTGTGTGAGATTTCAGCGCTGCTAAAAGCCACCAGCCAGGAGGCCTGCGAGTGACTCAGCAGTTGAAGTTGCCCTGCCTCCCAAGTTGTGCAGGAGAGGTGGGGGCAGGGTAGGTAGGCTCACACTCTGCAGCCGTTTCTTGGGTGAAGATTCTCAACCCCCTGGGAGTAGGAGCACCTCTGAAATCTGACCCTACTCCTCCATTTAGGGGTTAGCTTAAGACTCTGGCATGGCAGGGGCCAAGGTTTCTAAGGGAGAGTGGGGGTGGGTTCTTATCTATGCAGTTGTTTTTTGCTTTCTGTCTGAAAAAGAGAAAAAACAAACAAACAAACAAACAAAAAGTCTCACCGCTGTTTTGAGCTGAGGCTTCTGCCTCAGACGCTCCAGCCAAGCTCCAGCTGCGCTTCCGGAGGGACCGCAGAGGCGCAGGGACTGAGCCCACCCTGCCACTGCTATGCTCTCCACTCTACCTCCTGGGGTCCCGCAGCTCCGCGGCCGGGAGTGTGGACCGCGCCTCTGCATGCACATCTCCTTTCTCTTTTCCCTCACTCCCCCAGCCCGAGGCTTCTGCCTCAGGCTGCAAACCGTCGCGCTCTCGCTGCACTCTAGGCGGGCAGCGAGGCGCAGGGAGTGAGCTGCAGGAACACTCTTGGATCTGCTCTCTGAGTCCCTGTGTCTCAGCCTCCACGCGTGTCGCCTCCCTCTTCCCCCACTCACCCGGCTGCCCACCTTCAAGTAATCACCGTGCGAGTCTCTTAGCTGCTCTGTGACAAGCAGAGGTTCGTTTGATGAGTTACAGCAGTTCAAATTGCAGTGATTTCCAAGGGAGAACTCAGGGAACCCTCCTCACAGCCACCATTTTCCCAAATTTGGTACTCAAAATATGTATATTTTAAGTATGCCAGAAATTACTTCCTCTAGAGTGATTTAAATTTAGATGTTAATGCAAGAATGTGTGAGTGTTGAACTAACTTTTCAGAATTCTTCCAGGGGTTCATGAACAAAAAGCGTGGGACTACTGCTTGCTCTGGCACTGTGATTATTTTTGCACATGTGACAGTGGCATAGACAAGAGAACACTGGAGTTCATACCAACCAGGTGTGAGTACCATCACTCACCGGCTGGCTCTCCCACCCACATCATTCGGGTCTCTCCTCCAAAGCCACCTCCTCCAAAAGCCTTCTCTGACCCCCTTGCGAAGCAGCATGCCATTGCCTTTTCACCCTAAACCTGCTTCACTTTTCTGCCCAGCACCTATCAGACCACAACATGGTGTATATTTCTTTGTTTACTGTCTGCCTCCCCACTTAGAAGGTGAGCTCCTCAAGGGCAAGGCGTGGGTCTTGCTTGTTCACTGTGTCATCTCCCAAACCTAGGACTGCACCTGGCACAGCGAAGTAGATTGGTGCATCAGCAACATTTCAACCCCACAGGCTTGCTCAGCCTTATAGCTTGGGTTCTACAGGATATGATGCTGCAGCGGAGCAGACACTAGGCAAGGAGATGTGGCGGGAGGAAGCCAGGGGAAGTCAAGGCTGCAAATGACAAGCAACTGTGCATCCAAGCTTCAGTGAGGAAACAGAAGCAGCATGGCCACAGCCCCACCTCACTTCCGTTTTCCTAGCTCTCAAAAAGTCTTCTTCTCAAACCAAACACAGTTTTGAAACTATGAGATAGAGAATGTTTTAAGAACTGTATTTAAGCACAGATAATATGTATAGACATTTTAAAGAAAGCAAACAAAGTTTAGTTACTTAGAAAACACTGCTGCATGCCAGTTGGTTCCAATCTCATAACCAGGAGCTGGGGATTAGGGCGGAGCCTTAAAGGGCAGGGTGGAGCATTCTGATAGAGGCAGGGTGTGAGGAAATGGTCAGGTGCAGATGGATGTAGTTGAACTCAGCTAACAGAGAGGGCTCATCTTGGTGTTAAGCGGGGAGCTCCACATTGGATCTGTCATAACCTGTGGAAGAGAACTCCTCTGGCTAAGTTCATCTAGAGGGAGACCGGACAGAGGCCAGCATGTTTAAGTCAGTGGCCCAGGTGAAGAGAGGCTCCTTGCCCCTTGTAGCCTCACTCTTGCTGAGGAGCTCCAGCAGCAGAGCCAACAACAAGGGGATATTGGCTAATAAGGTCGCTGTGATCACCGGGTCCACAGATGGGTGAGTGCTCTACATTGGGAGCCCACAGGGTGACAAGTAATCCTGGGGCTGTTCACCTCATGCTCTGACTCACCACATTACTCCTTATCCGCTGACCATCATAGAAGAGAAAGGGTTCACTGGCCCTGGGCTGTGGAGAGAATCCAAATACAAAACGTGGGGACAGGGATTCAGAGACAGGAAAACAGCCCAAAAAGAAGGGCTCAGCCCAAGGTTCAGTTGTCACATCCGCTCCATCTCTGACCTTAGGATTGGCTTCGCCATCGCCAGGCGTCTGGCCCAGGACGGGGCCCACGTGGTGGTCAGCAGCCGGAAGCAGCAGAACGTGGACCGGGCTGTGGCAGCGCTGCAGGGGGAGAAGCTGAGCGTGATGGGCACTGTGTGCCACGTGGGGAAGGCCGAAGACCAGGAACGCCTGGTGGCCAAGGTGGGGAGACAGGGGAGGGGGATGTGTGTGTACAAGGAGGAAGAGTGGTTATTTTTAAAAACATAACCTGATAAAGTGCAAAAGCACAGGAATTAAAGGCTGACCATGTGCTTGGCTTTGGTCACTCGAGAGGTCCACCATACATCTGAACAGGTTCACAGTCACAGATCTAGGCAAAGAGAGATGTTTTGAGTCTGATGAGGAGAGATGGCTCTCTGCCCTCACTTTGTGTGGTCCCCTCCTGGATTTGACCAGGCATAACCCCAGGGACAGTAATCAGGAATCACCTCCCACTGCAGCCAGGAAACTTCTTTTGCTCCCTGACCCTGGTCTTTATTGTCTCCTTCTTCCCAAAGGCCTTGGAACACTGTGGGGCTGTCGACATCCTGGTGTGTGTGGCAGGGGTCAATCCCTTGGTGGGAAGTACCTTGGGGAGCAGCGAGCAAGTCTGGGACAAGGTGAGGACTGAGAAGCCGGGCAGGGAGAGTCGGACGTCATCCATATCCTGTGTGATCCTTTCTCTATCTTGGCTCCCAAAAATCCACCCTCCCTTCACAGACTCACTGGCACAGAGCAAGGCCAGGTGCCTAGACTCTGACCCTCAATTACCTATTTGTGAGATGGAAGTAAGAGTGTCTAAATTGCAGTTATGGTCCCCACTGTCCATGAGCTCCCAGTCTGCAGAGAGGGTCCAACAGAGAATCAAATATTCACAATAAATGTGGGGCACAGAGAAAGGAGTGACTCCCTTCCTTGCCCAAGAATGCTTCATGCCCAAGGCTAGAAACCTGAAATCCAGCTGTATTAGTTTCTTAGGGCTACCATAACAAAGCCACCACAAACCAAGTGGCTTAAACCACAGAAGTTGATTGTCTCACAGTCTGGAGGTCAGAAATCCAAGATCAAGGCATTGGCAGGGTTGGTTCCTTCTGAGGATTGTGAGAGAATCTGTTCTGTGCCTCTCTCCTAGCCACTGGTGGTTTGCTGGCCATCTTTGGTGTTACTTGGCTTATAGAAGTATCACTCCAACCGCTGCCTTCATCTTCACGTGGTATTCT